GAAAATCTTCCCCTATGTTGATGTCAATGCATATCTTGCTTCATCAATTATTCCTTGCATATCTAAAATGGTGAAGGATATTAGATATGAATATTTGCTAACAATTCCTTTGTATTAATTTTCACGCAGCTAAATGGACTGGAAAAATTTTGGCATTGCCAATTTTCCTGGGGTCATCAGCCTTTTAGCTGGTCTAGCGATGTGGGTGACATCACTTCCTAGACTAAGAGGATCAACTTTGAGTTATTCTTCTGCCCAACCAATTATATGGAGTTTTTGTCGTCTTCTTGGCCTTCATGTTGGTGATTTCATTTTCTGTTTTGCTGTGGGGGAATATTTCTCTTCATGCTTGATCCTTTTCTTTGATTCTGGCAGTCAAGGAAGATAGTTAATGTATTTTCAGCAAGATGGTTTCCATGTGGAACCGTGGAGTTGATTCTTGCAAAACCAGAAAGTAAAGAGTGCTTCTTTGCACATTAGCTGATTTTAAATCTTAAAGTGCTATCTCAAGCAGTGGCAAATATAGGATTTTGAGTCAGCACGGGTGGTCATTGATTGTCGACTGTTAGTCGCAATAAAGTATTAAGAGCCCGTTTGATGTGTATTTTTTTTTTTTTTTAACAAAAAATACATTTTGAAATAATGATTTCATGGAGAACGTGAGGTCAAAAATAAGAAAAAGAATTTGAATTTGCGTGTAATATTATTTTATTGAAAAATGTATGGTTAAAAATAAGATAGATAAAAATGTATTTGAAAAAAAATGAAAATAAAACAAGGGCTAAAATTTAAATATAACAATTATTTTGTTCATATTGAACATATATAATTCTGTTATAAGAATAAATCATATATTCACCAAATGAGATTGTTACCAAATATCATATAATTTAAAGGAAGAGCATGATTTTGAATCTTTATAATTTTATTAAACCTAGGGCATGTCTGGGCTCGATTTTTTCACCCAAAAAATTGATTTTTTGACTATTATTTCACTATTTCAGTCGTCATATTTGACTTTTTTTCTCACATGTGGATCCTACTTTTTTCCTAACGGTCAAAAAATCAATTCTCAAAATCACTCCCAAATAGGCTCCTAATAAATGTAATATATATTATTTTGTTGAATTAAGTGTCAAAAGCAATAAGTGCCACAGTGGTTAGGCTTTCAATGGTTATAATAGAGGTTTAAGGTTTAAATCTCATTCAATTCCTTCCGATTGCATTAATTTTGGTAGTTGTTGTAAACTAAAAAAATTGCAAAATGAATTGGGTGTGAAGAGAATTGAAACCGGGACTTGCAAAATGTGAAAACAAGCTCTAACCACTTCAGCTACAAGGAGTATTTGGAAGAAAAAAGAATTATCAGAAATATAACCTAAAACCTTTGTCAGCAAAAAAAAATGGCTTCCGACAGATCCAGCTAGGGCGGCTAGCTAGATCCGCCACTCATCGCAACATCTATCATCGATCTCTTTCGCCATGTCGATTTACGCGACAATGCACTTGGGTTTTTCTTCAAGTTCGTGAATTGTCTTGGCTTCAGTGGCATCCCTTTAGTGTCTCCTTTAGTTCTCTTGATGGTAAACACCATCTTGCAATTCTTATAAAGGTTCTTGAAGGCTGGACAGCATAACTGGAGAAACAAATCTCGAGTATGTCTGAGGAACTTGAAACGAAGCCATTCCTTCATCTCCATACCTAAATAACAGCTTCAATAGAAGGTCATTATGGCCATGAATCATCATACTATTTGACATATTTTCACTAATTTTTTAGATCAAGCATCTGCAAACCCCGATTGCATTTGGTTTTTTATTAAAATTTCAACGAGAAAGAAAAAGATATCATGATTTTAGCAACTTTTTATGCATTAGTAGGTATTGAAGAAACGTTGAAGATTTCATAGGATAAAGTTCTCTTTAGATTCTTAGCATATTTTGATGCATTATTAGTTACTGGATTTAGATATTCTCAGTTTCTATTATTAGTTGTAGATGTATTAATTAATTGATCTTCCATACCTTTCTCTTAGGTATGGGAACCTGATTTTAGTTGCAGGCGGCATAGGAATTTCGCCTTTCCTCTTGCTATCTTGAGCAATATTCTTCACCTTATCGACATTGGTAAGCCATGTCTGCCACGAAATGTGTTGATAGTTGGGACGTGAAAACATCAAAAGAGTTCCACTTCTTCAGAGAGTCGATATCAGGTCTATCCATCCATTTTTTTCTAATGCACTGAACATTGAGATTCAAACTATGTTACTCGACAAACAGAGACCTCATTGGTAATTGCACTCATCTTTTCATTCTAACATTACTGTATCTTCATTTTTCAATTGATTGATTCAATGTGTTAATTGCAGGAAGAGGTTCATGTTGTAGAACCAATTAATTCTTCTATCTTCCCTGCCTCCGGGATAGGTGGAATGTCTGTATTGGTTGGTACTGGAAACATCATTTGGTCAGGATTATACGTTATAATGTCTACTTTGGGCTTGATGACTACTGTCTATCTTTTGAATATCCTGTACATAAATCCTCATAACATACATTCTTGGTGGTACAAGGGGCTTTTATTCATTGCTTGCATGACCATGAGTGCCGTCCTTTTTGTGGGTCTTGCGATTGGTGGTTTATGGCATATGTGCGAAAGAAAAACTTCATACAAGAAGGAATGTGAGAACATCACAAAGACTGTCGGCTTTGAACATCCGAAAGAGAGAATGATACATGAGAATTCTGGGCAGGAACCATATCTCAACATAATTCGGTATGGTCAAAGACCCGAATTCAGTGGTACATACCCAAATCTGTCTCTTTTTTTGGGTTTACTTTCATTATCCTCTTTTCTTGATGATAAAGGTACCTTTCCTGCCCAATCCTGTCCAACGAATTCATGTTTTAAGACAGTGCTTGAGACTTAAGATTGCAATTTTTTTCGCCCTACTTCTCACCTCTATGCTGCAGAAATATTTGGGTAGATGGCAGAGCGTTGGGAAATGTGGACATTGGTGTAATTGTTTGTTGCCCTCCAACACTTAGTTGCTAAAGAGTGCAGGACACAGAATCTCAATGGACGAAACAATCAATCGGTGCTCCATTTCTCTACTCTACATGTTGTTCCATGTAGTTTACATATCATCTTTTACATTGTAATTACTTGTATAAGTTGCATCAATTTTTATAATTTCTGTGGTCAAGTCATGTTTTTTCCATAATGATAACTATATTAGTTAAATAACTATTTTTTGAAGGATAAGCACTAAAGGTACCGTTTAATGACCCGTTTGACAGGTTCTTTGAAAAGCCAAAAAACTAAAATGTTTCTTTTGAACATGTTTAGATTATTTCTAGAAATGTGTGTTGCGAGAAGAACTTAAAAGAAGTTGTTATAAGGTAGCTTTTTTAAAATTTTCTACAAGAAGCAAAAATAGAAGTCATATTAAAAAAATCACGAGTGATACCTCTAGCAGTAGGTTACCGCTGCATCCCTTAGCATGAGGGGGGTAAATGTGGAAGCAAATGCAGCGGCAGATCCTCCACTGCATGCGATGGAGACGAGGCAAACAGTTGTGGTGGTGCACAAGAGTCCTCTACTCTATTTTTATTTTTATTATTTATTTATTTATTTTTATCTTTATTTTTATTTTTACAAATTTACCTCATTCATATCAAGTCGTGCAAGATCATCATTGTAATTATGCGACTCCTCGTAAAGGGACAAACAAAATTAAGGAAAAAAAAAATCTTATCAAATATGAAATTTTAGATAAGATGGCTCCTCCCTGCGTGTGAAAAAATGGGTTGATCACACTGAAGCCACATTATACGCTATAAGGCTAGCAAGAGCATTAGTGCAAGCAAAAGAGAGGCACTCCAAAATTGCCAAGCATTTAACGACATAAAGGCGAAAGCTGTACCATCAAATTTCTCTGAATAAAGTCACAACACTTCGTCTTCCTAATTTCCATGCGAATCAAAATCAAAAGAGGGCTAATGTAACTTTCCAATCCATGCGAATCAAAATCCATCACAAATCTTGACTAAAAATAAGCTTATCCATACAAATATATTTGAGATATATAAAAATCTGAAATTATAAAATTGCGTGAATTTGTGTGCACGTGCAAGAGAGAGATAAAGAGGGATGAGGGGAGCCAGGGAAGAGGCAGTGCATGGAAAGGACAGCACCACCCAAAAGGGATGTTGACTAGTCCATTCCATGCTCCGTCTCGTCCCCGTCTCCTCACACTCCTATTACTTACCTTGATGATGTGTGATCATAATCTCGACTCTTAAGGTGTTATCAGTATGATTTTGATCTAAAGTTTTACGAAACGTCATGAATTTAAAGATGTAAGACAAAAAAGTTGTTCGACATCAAATGCCTACCGAAATGGATAAAAACGAACCCTCTTTTTATTGACTATATTTTTGCAGTACAGTTAAAATTAACAGTAGTACAAAGATATTACTATATGTACTTTTACGTCTAAACGTACTTCCAACATTGTACAATCGAACAAGAAGACCATATAACACGCCACTGTCATTTTCTTAACAAATCCGTCAGGGAATAAATAAGTATTTAGTTACTCTGCTAATTCTATAGCATCAAATTGTATTGTATTATAATATTTATAATTTATAATTTAGATCTTGACATATCAAAAAATAGTACATGTTTATTGCATCGATTCCATAAACCTCAACAAGCAATTTTATATTACAAAGATCCGTGAGATTCACTCATATCACTAGGATCGCAGAATAGGGAATTAAAAATTAACAACTAAAAAACATTTAATTCTTCCACAAATCAATTATGCTACATGTACATTACTTTTACATTGTGTCACGCGACAATACGCTATTGGACAGTTTAAAAAAAACAATTTTTTAATCAATCAAATCATGTCAACTTGGATGATGTCAAAAGTGATGTATACTTTTGGTGTACAAATGGCTTAACTGTCGACAAAATGTCAAATATTTTCACAGTATTAACCATCCCTAACCAACTGGACAAGACACCAATCTTTTGAACTTTCAACCTCAACTTTTTATTTTCACAATAGTTATGTTTTATTTTGTATGTAAATTTCCCTCTTTTCGTGTTTCATTCAAGATCATAACTACGGCATAAATCATAAAGTACCAAAAATAGAACTCATATATTTATGTAAAGATGCTCCATTTCATGGGGCTGTGATGCCTAAAGCTGGTCTGGTCCCTTTACTCAGGTCCTTTTTTTACCAATTTTTATTGCCTTTAAGTTCCTTCCATAACAAATTTGAATGCTGAATCTTTCTCCATCTCATCATGTACTATCCTCCCAAGTGTAGTACCAAAAATCTCCTGTTTTCGTCGTACTTGCCTGATATAACCATCCATCCCCCACCGGCTTATAAAATCGGCATACGAAGTGCACAAGGCTCTCTACCACTGAAGGATCTGGGAAGGTTAAGGTGCATATAACTTTACCATGATAAGCAGGGAGGTTATTTTCAAAATTCAAACTTTCAAGAAGAGCAGTTAAGCAGCAAAAAAGGTAACAAGCGCCTGGAGACACCCAGGAATTACTCAGTTTTTAAGTAAGATGGTCTTTTCCTTCCATGCCCATATGGGTGCCAAAATGTAATCTTCTCGAGTTCAACTTGTAAAAATAAAAATAAAATTCAGAAATAGATCCATAGGACTTGACTATAAAAATAAGATCTCCCAGTCTTATATCCAAACATGCAGGAGACTAGTATATAATCTAAGTAATGTAAAATAGAACTAGTCGACGATTGTCCACACTAATGCAATGCACAAACTGAAGGATAAACCATCAATTTCCAAGGACTTGTAGGGAAATTAAATTTTATAGTTCAAGAGAAATATATGCCCTCTTTTCTATCAATAAGATGCTCAATATTTTGTGTATATGATTTCTTGGGATAAAAATCAAATCTTAATTTGGCTATTTTCAAACTATTTTATCGATTAGGAGGCCTCTTAAGTCTTGAAGAGAATCAATGGCATAAGAACTCGAGATATTAGAGTCTAAATTGTCCTTACCATTGAAAAAATGAAGCCCCTTTTCTCCTTTATAGATCTTCTCTATCCCTTGCTTCTGCTGCTTCTTCGGTTCAGCACTTCTTCTTATCCTAAAATATTATTCTTCATGTCCTCTTCCTTCCCAGAAGCTAAAAGATGATAATAGCACACTTACAACCATAATTCTTCCGCGCTGAATAGACGTCCCCTGAAAAAAAGCTAATTCTCCGCTTTCAGTACATCTTTATTTCACTGCCTCTGTATATCTCTCACCTACCCTGCTGTAGGACAAGCCTATTACAAATAGAATTTATCTCTTGTTTAGAATAGGATTTTTTGTCTTGTTAGAATATGATTTTTTTTAATTCCTTTTAGAATTTTGATTGATTTATTCATTTATATTTAGGGAACTAATTTGCCCATACAAACAAAGGCTTTGCATACTTTTTCAAGAACCAATTCATTACAATGAAATCAATCTCTATAGATTTCGACTTTTTCAATTTTCTTCTTCTTTTAAGAATTTTTATTCCGCTTACACACCATATCCCCAAGACTTGTCCAATCCTATACTTTCCTCCATTTCTAGTTAATCCTCTCTGCCTCTTTAAGAGTATTTAAAACACGGTTATTTTATGCCAATAAGCTGATCGTATTGTTCCATTTTCTTCACCATTTCAGCAGATCGCATGCCGTGTTTGCTCAAAAGCAAATTGGCAGTCACCTCACTGAACACTGGTGCAACAAATCTAGTCATGACCCTAACCATGATGGTGGTCGAAAGTAATGCAGTTGGGTTTAAGAAATTAAAACTGAATTGGGAACGACTGATATCTCATATGCAATTATTCTCAATTTTCTATAAGCTAATGAAGAAAAGCGGATGTTGAATGGGCCATTGCCCAAAGATTATGTAGCATCATGTCAAAAATCACTTCCCACAAGAAGCAAGATGTGGCTTGGAAAGCAACTGATCCTTGTATGGTCATTCTCATCTAGTGTAATCATAGTTTCTTGTGACTTGTAAGCACAATACGAATAATCAAGAAATATATAAAGAAGTATCAAAAGGATAAAACTTCCTTATCCATACCAATGATGATATATCAATATGCACATAACAACACAATTCCACAATTGAAGCTTATAGTAGAAAGCACAATTCCACAATTGAAGCTGACAGTAGAAAGCAAGATAGAGCAAAAAATAGTGCCTTTTCAGTTCGGAAGAAGTGAGCAAGTGAACCCATCCTTCACTAGCTTGTTAACAGCATCCCTTAGCCTCTGGTAATC